AATTCATTTATAAACAAGGTTGATCTCAGGGGACTGTCAATGAGGGAGATAAATCTCTGTAATCTTGAAGATTTGATCCATGTTTCGAGCTCAGCCGGTACCAACTGACCCTCATTATTCAATCTCCTCGTCCCTCACTATTTAAACCCTCCGTTCACTCCTAGTCCTCACTTGGTATTAGGAATCCATCCTCCTCCTGAGCTTGCCACGTCCTCGGACCTCTGTCCACCGACACACAGACCTTTCTAGCGATGGACCTCTCCACAACCCTTTCGTCTCGCCTCTTTTTGGGATTGTTTGCCTCGAGACCTTCTCTCACCGGACTCTGACCTCTAGCCTGGAACTACTGACCACTCTGCTGCCTCGCTCCTCTCGGACTCGTAGCCATCGGACTCTCTCAGCAACCTGCACAGGGTTCAGAACTGCTCGTTCGTAATCTTCCAGGTATACAAGATCCTAAAGGCTAATAGTGTCACCCAGTGAAAAAAGAACATCTCACAATTGAAAGCTTCATGAGACATTACCTAACTCAGTCAGGTGATTGAAATCCAGACACTTAGAATCAGCTTCATGAAGTTCTACTTGGCTACTAAACTGCCAAAGGTCTGAGAATGGTTTCTATGCATTTGCAACTTTTCTTATGTTCTGAAATTGTGGGAGTTCAAGTACAGATCTCTGCTTATTGAACATAAGGCTTCCTATATAATCAGGACGGTTTTCAACAATAGTACTATATTTACTTATTTGTAGTAGCTATTCCTCAGAGATACCATGAGTAATAAAAATTAAAACCTCTTCTTTTTTTAAAATAGCTACAGCATTCTGTATTCTATATATTTTAATATCTGTGGTTATCAATATGTTTGCATCTAAACAATCATTTGTAATATTTATTGATTTTTAGACAGACCTATTGGTGCCTCTTTCTCTACAGATACCACATCCATCAGGTTGAGAGTGAGCCAGTACATACAGTAAAACAAATCTGGCCAGGGTGCTCTTTACAGTGAGATTGTGTGACTTACTAGCTGTCTGTCATTCCGCTTGATCACCTGAGTCGATATAGTTTGATTTTCGTTGACTCATGAATATACTATACTTATAGCCCCAAGCCTTGCCCGGCCCCAAGTCCAACTTTGTTCACAAACTGTTAAAAAGCCCAGTTCAGGGTGTCTAATTAATTTAGAAGCAAGAACCTGCCTGATGTTACAAGACATACACTCCTCTGAGACTAATGTTGTTATAGTTTACCTTCCCAACCTGAGCATTAGTAGAATAACATCTCTGAATCCTTCATCCTTGGATTCCCAGTGATCTATGAAGTTTCACTGCCCCCTAGCAGAGCTAATCTCCCCATCCCCCCCTCGGCTGCAAAGCTCTAGCTATGGTAACCTCATCCAAGGACAGTCAGGTATTATACAGGTCTCACAAGAAGACCACTCATCCATCTGCTGAAAAAACAGGGCTTAACTATTCAGTAACCAAATCACAAGTGCTCCCTCTCCACTGATCCTTGCCTTACTACAGCGTCCCTAGCTCTTCACTCATGGACTCACAGCTGCTTCCAACTTCTAGAAGAATTGTGACTGATGAACATGCTCCCTCACTCTATCCAAGAGCAAAACATGATTCAAACTCCATCTGGAGTTTGGATCCCTGTTGAACTTTTTTCCCAACCCTTGTGGGGTATGGAGAATCTTTTATTCCAGATAGCCTTTTTATTCACAATATAGTTTCCAGAGACAATGTAGCACCTAACCAATGGCTAAGATAGACTCTCCTTTGCCTTGAGCTGCAAACCAAGTTCTAGAGAGCTAACAATTATTCTTCCCCCTTCTTCAAAGACACCCAGCTTTAATAAATCTGTCATCTTTTGTTCTAGATAACCTAACTAGTTCTTCTGTCCCTTATACTGAGTTGATTTTACTGTCCTCAGCTTGAACATGCCTGAGATCTAGCTTTTGCTTTTCACACCTTGTTTTTTTTCCTGCTGGGAAACCTTGATCTTACTATTCCTCTACAATCCCCTGCAGGTTTTAGAACCACATTATTTTCAATCTAGTAACCATCCAGGTTATTTTGCCCTCTTTGGGGGTAGATAAATCCCCTCCACGATTTACAACCAGATGATGTTACAGTTCTCCTTGCTGGGTAAGAGAGAGAAAAGGAACCTAGACTGTTTTCAGTTTCTCCAGTCGTAGCAGTGTAAGCCCACTCTCAACTGATCCCACTCTCAACTGATCCCATCTTGCCAGGTCCGCTGTATAATAGTAATAAACTTTATTTTATATAGCGCCTTGAAAGGTGACTTAGACACAGCAACAATCGAGTCTGTGACTATTTTGCATCTTAACATCTCAGACTTCAATAAATTCTAGTACCTAACCCAACATTGCTAAGACAGCTTTCCTCTGCTCTGAGAAGGCTGCTGTCTCTGAACCCCATTAGTGCTTTCCTGTGCTAGTCATACTGGATGCATACTAGCAACACTGAGTACATTGAGTACAATGATTACTGTGTTGAGACAGGATGTTGTTACCACATGGTCACCACAAATCCAAATGTCATAATATCATATAACACAGATTTATTTTTTTTAATTACAGTATATTAATTATTGTGCTTTGCTGCAGCGACTTCCCAATTTTGACCCTTCTGTGTTCTGGATTTCAGCTCTGGACAATGCTTGCCTGCTCCACTATTTTCCTCAAATTGACACTCGCTTTCTTTTGAGAGTGGTGTTTTCATCAGAATTACTACATGAGGCATAATTTCACTTATATGTCCTTCTCACTTTGCTGTATCTTATCTTCTCCCTGCTCTCTCTGAGTTCTTATTCGCACTTCTGATATCACTTTCCATGTCATTGTATCTCTTACTCGTGTTCTCACAGTCTTTCTCTAACTCATCCCATGGCCGCCTCTATGATCTCCTCCGAGATTGTGTACTTAAAGTTGACTCATGTCCCTGAGTCCTTGGCTTGTGGACGATTAGACCCACCAACTCACACAACTCCAGTTCTCACTTCCTCTAGATCGTCCCTTTCAGGGAGTTAGAGTGGATGATCCTTGAGTCGATCTCTTTTGGCTGGACTCACCTACATTACCTTACTGAAACAGCAACGTTTCATTTGCATGCTAATTGGTTTCTGTTTAAGGGCGTCTTTAAATTCTTTTACTCTCCTCGAGCTTCCTTGATTGTTGGTCTTGTGTTCTTTCACATGCATTCGAAGGCTATATGCATGTCTATATTGTTCTTTACGTATACATAATTAAAAATACATATGTAATCCTAAAAAAAAGGCAACATGTTTACAAGAGACAAGACAGTTCCTGTGCACAGGCAGACAGACAAATCATGTACCATTGAGAGTGGAAGAATGAAAGATTTCCACTGAGCATGGGCATTTTGAAAGGGGATAACAATATTTCCAGTGAGCACTGAATTGGATATGACACCCATATTTTCCTAAAAACATTAGGAAACAATTGCATTCACTTACAAAAAGATTTACAGTAACTACTAGGACACGAGGAAGTATGTCATAATACTTCATATCTGTGTCAATATTTTTTTTAGAACTGAAGAACCTGACCTGTGAAGTAGTGAGTCCACAGTGAGTCAGTGAGTCCTGTTTGTGAGGACAAGGGTAACTGCTGCAGCTACTCAGATTGCATGTCAGACTCGGATTCAATGGCCAAAAAAGAACGATGGGTGACACTGGTGGTGCATTAGCTGTTAC